GTGTGCGGGCGCATGCGCACTCGATATCACCGAAGGGGAGAGGAGGAGAAACACAATGTAAGTGAATGCACGCAGCCGGGAGTGTGCATTCAGGACAGACTCTGTGGGACACAGAATGACAGGACTCTGCACTGGATCAGAGAGCGGCACCAGCGCACGAGGGACTGTTGGGAACGAGTGGAAGGAAGTAGATGTTCGCATCAAGAGGCATCATATAAGGTAAGTAGTTAAAGCAGCATTGGGGGGAAAAATTGAGCCGTTAATGTCACTTTAAGACATCTTGAATATTTTAAACTTGCAGATAGCATTAAAATAATACTTGGGGATTCTGCCATGGAGGTACTGGTTCAGGCACTTCCTCTGGTAGGATGATACCACCCTTTTCCTGTCCTAGTTTTGATCTTGCGTTGTCGACCTGTCATGAGGGGATTGTGATACAGGCTGCAAGTGGTCATTTCAACACCCATTACGAAGCTATGGTCCACTGCTGTTACCATTAGTTAATATACTCTGAGAAATGCCATGCAACCTTTACTGAAGTGTACATATATAGACAGGCAACACTGATATCCAGCAAAACGTGAATATATGGTGTATATAAACTAACATAATGTGGTTAAAGAGTGTTGAGATATTCTCTGACTCAAGTTCCTGACAATATCCAGTGTGATGAAATGTGCAGGGAGAGACAAGAGTTGATATTACGCTGGGAGGATCTACTCAATCTAGATAAGTTGAAGTAACTTTGTGGTATTGGGGTTATCTGGTTTTAGTAAATCTCATTGTGCACTCTTTCTTTTTTCTTACAAATTTTAATGAAAATGGAATTATACTATTGGAGCTATCTACTTTTAATACAATACAACATTGTATTGTTACAGTAAGAGGTACACACAGAATAGGCATTTCCAGCTAACGCAACAGTTGGCTCCTTGTGACGCCAGCATATAGGAAGGACTTTCAGGTTACAAAAATGCCTGGCATGCTCACTTTGACAAGCCAGCTCAAAGAGCAACAACAATGGAGAAGGCCATAACGAGCACTTTGCACATTGTTCTTAATAAAAAGGTCATCTGTGTTGTTTTCCACCACGGCACCAATTTAGTAAAAGTGTCAAGTGCTTCTCAGCCAGTGCTGAATGTAAAAAAGAAACAGCTCATTTTCCCAAGGAACTGTGTTTATGAGAACTGGTTTACAAAGGTGTTTTGTTGTCGGCTAATTTAGGCAGCAGTTTATTATAACTCTAACCGTTTCAGTGAGCTCTGATGTTTAGGGTACTTCACAAGTGGACATTAAACAGCAGTAACAATAATGTAAGTAACTAATTATAAAGCTTGCTGCAGTTGGCAAAAAGTAGTAGCTGATTAGTCACATCTAATGAAATAAAAAGCAGATGTTTTCTTGGGAACTGCTTAACTACGTTTCTGTGCTGGAGCTACAAGCGCTACTGCAGTTGTCTCTGTCATAGTCATTAACTGGTAGCTTCTAATAGGACATTCTGCTGTTCCTGTGGATACAGTAACCTTTGTGTACTGTCTCATTTTCCGATCGCTTGGGCAGACACTTGACACTCTTTACCTCTGCCAGCAGTAAATTGCAAGGTTGTTTAAATGCTGAGACAATGCAACATATCAGGGCCCACACACGAGTGAAGTGTTTAAAAATTTAAGTAGCATAATGAGCTAAAATAAATTTCTATGTGGGTTATAGTTCCTTTTTTTAATCCATGGATTTAATGTATACAGAAGGAGAATTTCTATGTTTGTAATGGTATATGGTGCAGCATGTGGCTTGGTTTTCTAGTGCATGCAGATTGTACTGTCTTCTTTCCCCTGTAATTGTACCTAGGAGAATAGAGCAGCATGTATTAATGTCATGGTGGTTATAATAGGGCAGAGAGAGAAGCGGAGTGAGAAAGCAGTAGGAATGGATGGGAAGGGAAAGGATCTCACAGAGACAATTGCACATTTCAGGTCTTGCGATTTCTGACAGATTTAGAATGACCCACAAGCCGAGTGACAGGTTTAAAAAGACAACATAATTATTAGTGTGACTTCAATGCTGAGACCCTATTCTATCCATTCCATCTGGCATCAAGTGACTGTCTTTTTTCTTTTTTTTAATATAATGACAACCTTTGTATAGATTCAGTTTTGTTTGGTTTAACTTGTCAGCCTGTCATTGACAACTTGACTTGAAGCTGAGTTTCATTAATAGCTTGTGTAAGTCTGGAATCCTTCACCTATATTTACAGAAAGTGTTATCGACTTTCAATGTATAAATGAATTACTTTATTGTAGTATGACATTTCTTAAGTAATTAGGTTTATTTATAGGATCTCTATGATTGAAAAGATTACTGATAGCTGTGTGTGGTATTTACGTGTTTTATTTCCATTTATTAATTATATTTACCTTTATTTTTTTCTAAGATATATATATATTTTTCTGGGTAGCTTGGTTTATTTATTTGTTTGTTATTATATTTATATAGTGCCAACAATTTATACAGCACTCTCCAAACTGCACAATCACATCAGACCCTGCCCTTGAGGAGCTTACAATCTGAGGTCCCTATTGCACACACATACAGGGCTAAATTGGAACTCAGGAGGAAACCCATGCAAGCACAGGAAGATCCTGTGAACTCCAGATAGTGTCCTGACCAGGATACGAACCCGCGACTAGTGCTGCAAAGCAGAAGTAATAACCACTAAGCCATTGTGCTTAAAGGTTTATTTATATTTGTGGAGAAAAATATAAAGCCATGATGTGCAATCAGCAATAGTTAAGTGATCATAGTCAGCTAAGTGCAGCAACACCTAAACACCAATCAGTGATATACTACTGCAGTATGTCCCCCCAAAAACGAGCACTTGGACCTACAGTAGTTAACTAATTAAAGGATGAACTATGGGGTTAAGGCTTTTCCCCATAGTTCTCCTTAGGGTAATGGGAGGATACAAACTAGCGTCCTCCCGTCACCCTAAGCTCAGTATACCGCGAGCTGTAGCTCGCGGTATACTGAGACGCTGAAGCGGATCCCGACAATTATGTCTGGATCCGCCCAGCTGCATGACTGACAGCTGGCTCTGCCTATCTAGAGGCAGAGCCAGCTGTACCCGCCCCCTCCCTGTCCGTTCCGCCAGTCAGCGCTGGCGGATCGGGGAGGGGGGAATCCAGCACCTCCCCTGTCACGGCAGAGAGCCCAAATGAGCACATTTCTGTCTCGTCTGTCAGTGTTCAAATAAATCAGTTTCAGTCCGCTATGCAGCAGTGCCTCTTGTGGCAGGTTGGCTTTAAAATTATGTTTTATTCGTTTCTATGGGTTACTGCCCTTTGGACAGTACTTTTTGCATCACAAACTCAGTACATGTTTATGGCATTGGGGTTCTGTGTAGATCTAACAAGATAAGATGCTACAATGTTTATTCAGACAGGTAAAGAAAACTGCAGTGTTGTCTGTGCCAATTATAGTTCACAAGGATCAACAGCTGTTCTACTTTGCTGTTATATGTTGTTGTCTTTTTAACGCATTGATTGACGCTTGTTATATTGTTAGTTTTAATGATCAAGAAAAACCAGATGTGCTTCAATGTGATGCTCCTTTTTATATACTTGCTTGTTAAAGAAAGGTGAGCAAATATTCAAGACCTATAGCACATTTCCAAGAAGAAATAATAACAGTCTGTTCAAATGAATCCAGGATTAATAATAACACAACATAAAGGAACTTATGAGCTATGAAGGAATCATTTTCTTCTTTAATTAACAGTATAAAGTTCACTTACTTTCTTTTGTTATTCAGGTATAATGTATCATAAGATGATCTTTTTTTCCTTTAATAAGCTCAGATGTTATACTTTCCTTCTGTATTTTGTTCACAGTCAGCTTGGTTGTCATCCATTACACATGGATTGCAATCACTTCCCAAACCCTGACTGCTATTATAATCACATGATTAAGGATGAGGTTCAGGTATTCAAGGTTTAACTCAAGGTATTCAAAAGTTGCGGTCCTGGTGAACTAATACAGGAAAAAGCTGGACTGAATTATTTTTAACCTTAATGTGCAGCATTGCTTTTGAAATTAGATCACCCGGCTTAGAAGGGCCATGGATGGGGTTTTGCTATATATGCCAGCCTCCTTACTATAAAAAGGTGGATTCCCAGTAGCTCTTTTCAGTGTGTGTTGGAGTAATTTAGAGATTGCTGACAGTTTGTGTATAGAGATTGATGCTACACAGCACTTTATTGTGTGATATTGTGCTGCATTACAGTGGATTGCAGTGTGGTGGGCTACATATTCTTGTGTACTACCTCTGTGTTCACCCAACCCAGACAATCTTACAATTTGGCATTGTTCAGTATGTGGTCAAAGGTAAAAAGAAACAATGTTTGCTTATTTAGCCTCTAAACATGAACAAATTGATTGCGGAATAAGGTAAATTTGGAACATTTACTAGTAATTTGCTAATTTTTAAGTTCCTCTATGCCTGCAGACCTGTGCATTAGTTGTGTTTAGATGTGTAATATTGTTGGTAAAAGTCAGGCCGCTTATCTATCCTTTTCCTGAGGTATGCAGTATAACTATGTCATTCATCCTTTAAGGAGCCCTCCAAACCACAGTGGCTTCTTATATTGTCCTTCATGTTTGTTATCTAAATCTCAGATCAAGGTTTGGAGGAGGTGAAGGAGGGTGCTGTAGCGTGTGTGTGTGTTTAGATAGATAGATAGATAGACAGACAGACAGACAGATAGATGTTATTGATGCCTTTTTAACACATTTTTCCTCTTGGTGTAGACCAGCTATGTTCAATTTTATATGTGTAAGTAGCAATTTTTCTTAGTATGGAATGCTAAATACAAATTTTTCAGTCTGTGTGTTCCAAGAGGATCTTGAAGTGGCAAGGCACATTTTAGATGGCTTTATTGTTTGTTTAACTGTGCAGCTTTAAGTACAGTAATGTCAAATTATAATTTCTGTTGGATTTTCCTGCAGATATCCGTTGAGAGCCCGAGACCTAGAAAATGGGACAGCGGGAAGATTGATGCTGTATATAGTGGAAGAAATAACCCAGTTTGGGAATTAAAAGGGAAACTTCAGTCGTGTGTGCTTTTTGCTCACATCTCTGTTTCTGCAAAATGAGAACTTTCAGATGCTTTTTACTACTTGTGTTTTGGGTGAGTCAGCTTCGAAAAAGCTGTACAACTCCACTGCCGGATAGGACTATTGCCACCACCACCACTGAGCCACTGCTAGAAGAGCAGGAACCTGGCCAAGGAAATGACATGGAAAGGAGCCGGTCTAAGAGAAGCTGGATGTGGAATCAGTTTTTCCTTCTTGAGGAATTTACAGGATCGGAATACCAGTACGTCGGCAAGGTATTGCTCGTTCTATAATAGCAGATTGAAGAGCAGTAAACAATTGTACAATTCTCAGTTATGTTTACAGTATGAAAACAATGGATAACAATATTTCTTAAACAGCACTGAGGGGAATTTATCAGAACTGGAGCAGACAAAATCTGGAGCAGCTGTGCATGGCAGCCATCCAGCTTCTCACTTTCATTTTTAAATCTGAACTGAAAAAACTGAAGAGAGATGCTGATTGGTTGCCCTGGGCAACTGCTCCAGATTTTATCTGCTCCAGTTTTGGTAAATTCTCCTCTCTGTGTTTATTTGCCTCTAATATTTCTTAATTTTAAATTTACGGCATCTTCTGCCCACTGGTAAAAATTGTTATCAGTCTGAGCCAACTGTCAAAAGATTAGAAAAGACATAGCAGCATATGCACAGTGATGTTGTACTGCCTGGAATTTCAATGTGTTTATTTTTTAAGCCTAACTTTTTTTACACTAATGTATTGTTACAATATATATAAAATGTTTGTTATACAAGGAACATCCATGACAACGGATTCCCAGGGCAATATGTATTTTTTTTACTGGTTCTGCACACTAGATGTACTACACACATCCAAAAAAATCCCATCAAAGTTCACAGGACGTATGTAGTGCATCCTGTCCTTCTACCCCTGTGCCGCTCCCACCTCGCACCACCAGCAGTTCCCGACTATCACAATGGCATTTGGGAGTTGCTCTGTAAATACAACAGCTGTAATAGCTGCAGCTGTCAAAAAATTAGTTTGTCTGATATAGTGATTGTATACAATGTTCAGACATGAGATGGAGGGATACAAAATAACACACACATTTGCATCTACTCTGTTTCATTTATCTGCAGATCAAAGGGATGAGCATATGATGTCAACTGACAAGTAAAACAATAAATAAAAGAAATGTAATCCAATTTAACTCCTTATTAAAGTGGACCTTTACTCCCTTTGGCTAAAAATCACATCAGCATTCAGCTCTACATGCTGATATAAAATCATCTTACATTCATTAGTTAAACAAATATATTTTCATTTTACTTACAGTTTCTTGTTTTCTACTTCCTGGTTCTCTTTGGCAAATGTGATGTAATGTGCCCAAGCATTGAATCCTGGGAAGGTTACATCATCAGAGCATTGCTGGGAAATCTCATCTGTTATCCCATGAGATCCCAAAGAGAGGCATTTTCCTCCCCTGAGATGTGCATGGTCACATGTCCTAGTCACATGTGCCAGAGTTCCAGGAAAGGAAGTAAAGGGTTAGTTAAAATGACCACCGTGAGTTAGTTAAAATGACCACTGTGAGAAGAAGAAGAAAAAAGAAAAACAAGGTATGCAAAGAATAAGCTGGCATTTATCTAGAAGTATCTGTTTGTAGATTGGCATTACTAAACATTTCTAAAGGTGTCTTTGTTGTTATTTTTGAAGATATGTTTAAAGTTCCTCTTTAAGCCTTAGTTTACCATAAACAGCCTCATTAATTCCCTTTTCCCCTTCTCCACATAACAATTTTCTTGTTGATTTTTTTATTTCAGTCTTTCTGACTATTAAGATTTAAACTTTAGTGTTTTTTGTTGTTGTTAATTTCTTTCAATGTTGCATTGAAAAAAGTGTGATATTGAAGAATAAAAAGCCTTTATTTCATTTGTGAATAACTGTAATGTATCAGAGCCATAATTTTAGTGCCATTTTAAATAGAACTTATGGTAAAATACAATTTACACCTTTAATCTACAGCAGGGGTAGGGAATATCCTGCCCTCTAGCTGTGGTGAAACAAAAAATCCCTTGACACATTGCAAGATTCTCACAGCCACAGGAATGACTTCCAGAGACAGATGCATGTTAGGATTTGTAGTTTCACCACAGCTGGAGGGCCAGAGGTTCCTCACCCCTGATCTACAGTAACACCAATTGTTTAAGCTAACACTGATCAAAGTAGAAAAAAGTGAATTAGGTTTTACCTATGAATCTCATAAAAAATAAAAACAATCTTCTAATATTGTCAAAAGACATTATTGTTTTCACTAAAAATTCATATGTTTTCGCTTTACTCCTCTTTTGGATCACAGGACTACAGTTACTAATGTACTCCTGGGACCCAGAGTCAGCATTTGGCTGGTTACTACCCCTGCTATATGGTGACAGCGCAGAGCCATGCTGCAGCTGGGAAAGATCCCCACAATATTGATGGGATCCACCCCGCTGCCTGATTGGCAGCTGGCTCTGCCTCTCTAGAGCCAGCCGTGCTCACCCCTCCCCTGTCTGTTCCTCCAATAAGCGCTAGAGAAACAGAGAGAGGGGAGGGGGAATCCCACCGGGAAGCAGTAACTAAGAGTCACCCCTTCTGCAAGGAGAAGCTGAGCAATCATCTGTCTGTGATTGCTTAGTTCTCGAGCTATAGAGCCGGCGTGTGACAGTGTCACACACCAGATCAAACTTTTGGGAAGAGAACATTTTATTCTCCCAATAGTTCTCCTTTAAGTAATGACAAAGTCATTGTTTTGGTGCATTTTACATATGTGAAGCAGTTAAATAGAGAGGATAGTAAAAGCTGTTTCCCTTCAGATGAGGGAGGAAATTATTTACTTCTCTGACTCATCATGTTGTGTGTAATTTTTAGTTTGAGCTATTGATCTCTGTATAGAACAGGTAATTAAAAAAAAAGAATCAGTGTGTCTTGGAAAATGTTAAATAAAGCCAAGAGCTCCACCTCTTGAAAACATATACAAATATAGCACTTTATTATACAATATGTCATAGTTATGGGACTAAGATTCAATAAATGTAGTCTTAGTCATAATATAGAAAACATATACAACACCATTATATATTCCCTTTAAGACCCAGCTTAAGCTAAAACATTTTTTCTTTTTAGTTTTGGGTAGACTTGTGAAGGGTGAATACTTCTGTGAAGTTTTTATTACTGTCCTTGACCGTTAGGCCTGGTTCACACCTAGGCACCACCGTTTTTGTACATTTGTACGCGCGTGTTCAGCGTGAGGTTTGGGACATTTTTACTTGCGTGAAAACACGCACATGAAGACGCAACTTTTGACTGGCAGTTTAAGAATCATTGCAGTCAATGGCTGAACGCACGTACAAACGCGCAAAACCGTGCACGAAAATGTGCAACATGCCTGCTGCACATTTGCTGGCATTTCCATTGAAGTCTATGGGGGAAAAACGAGCTTGAAACTGAAGAATTTCATGTACTTTTTTGTTTTTCTAGCGTTTTCCTGCTAGCGTTTTGCTGCTCAGGTGTGAACAGGGGCCGTTGAAAATCATGGGATTTCTTGTATTGGGCATTTGAAAGCGCTTTTCCTACTGCTCAAAAACACCTCGGTGTAAACCAGGCCTAAGGGAGATTTCTCCTAGCGTCCTGCCCCTGTGACAGAAAGACAAGTATTGTGGGGAGCATTTGTATTTGGAATATGACAGAGTTTCTAACCCTTCCCTGTTTAACTGAAAAAATCATGGTATGTCACAGTCTGTGTCCCAGCTGCAGAGATTTCCTGCTGCTTCCTGTCCCGACAGAAAATAAGGAAAACATTTCCATAATGGAGATCACAGACCACAGTAAAAACCTAACAAGCTTTATTCCTACTCCATTAAAACAAACACATAATTTAATAATTAAATCAATGATTTTGGTGGAAGTTTGGGTGTCAAACAGAGATACAAATTCAGCAGTAAGATTCCAGTGGAAATAGTCAGAAAACTGCAATCATATTTTTCTGGGCAAAGCAGATATTGCATGGGGGCAATGAGAGAGTCAAGTGTAGCTTGTGACCATTTGTTGTTTGTTGAAGATTATTTCATTAATTGCAGTGTTTCTTTAATGTTTATACATATACAGTATGTCAGAGTTGTTCCAGGTTGGGAGGAGAGAGAGAGAGAAGAGATGAGGTATGCACACAGAGAAGTATAGTCTCTCCTAGTAATTCATCTTTGTAACAGGGCCAGCATCTGCCACCAGTAACAGAATGAGTGACTTGTGTAGAGAAAGATGTTCTGCCATCCCTGATACATGGCTCACGAATCAAGAATTTTCCTCTAACCAATTATACAAATGTTTGCAGCTAATCATTTCTTGTCTTCCTTCTATGACAGTTTGCCAGTATTTCAGCTGCAGGTGTTGTATAGCACTATGTGGAAATGAATCTTTTGTAAGATGAGCATATTATTAAAAAGGGAAATTGTGTGCTGTTTTAGGCTGCCTGTAATAGGGGGATTTTGTTCTGCTAAGATGATTCATGATAAAACTGAATTATGTATTGGAGCCAATCTCTGCAATCTATTATAAAGGTGAATTTGTCAATAAATGGTAACATCCAATACCTTTTGCAAGCAGCAAAGCACACAACGTTGTAAAGAGAACACATTGTAGGATATCCTATATACGGTTACAATCAAGTATGCCTGATGGTAATACGTATTTCAGACATGTACTTGTAGACTATCATAAGTCATCATCAGGGTGATAAAGGAGGCCCTGTGTTTAATGCTGAATAGTCATTGCATATTGACCACATAAACAGGCACAACTCTCCTGTACTCATTGGGTGACATTTATTAAGCTGTAACCTTGTAGTGGATCTGCTGCACAATCTGTCTTACTGCTGCTGTTTAGCATATCCTTTCTGTGCAATAGGGAAGCCATTTGATATATATATATAT